CAATCCAAAAATACGTTGAGACGCGATGATTGCCTATGTGGAAGAAGAATTGATATTGAAGGATGAGCATATTCTTCATCCTTTAAAGTTTCTTCAAGGATAGATCAAGAGTTAAAGCAGAATTAGACAATCACATGACACATTCTTTGTTGAATATTGTCTTTATTATGATCTTTGCCATTCTTAACAAGAGGATAATATCATTTGAAATAGTAAAGAGGATTGAAACCATACGTATTTGATCTTTGAGTATATTAAGCTAAGTAGTCATATCAATGTGACAAAAAAAAGATGATTGTTTTTTATATCTCCAGATTCTATTAGTTCGAGACAAACCATACCATGTGCTTGAAGGTTTAGGCTCCATTTGGACTAGAGTTTTAAAAAAACTTTTAAGCCTAAAAAGTCTGTTTAGAGTTTAAAATGTGTTTGGACAAAATAATTAAAGTCTTTTCTAAACATCAATTTGAAAAAAAAAAGTTTGAAACAGACTTTTTAAAAAATAGGTAGGGGGTATTTTTCAATTTTTTGAAACAGGGTTTTTTTCTCCGTCGCGGGTCGGAATCCGGGTCAAAACCGGGTTATAAAAAAAACGGGCAATGGATATAAGGGAAAAGTAGTCGTATTTTCTCACTCTTACCCTAGATCCGCGGCCCCTTTTCTCACTCTCTCTTCTTCAGCCGTGCGGCACCCAGTGACGGCGACAACGACGACAAAACTCCCCGCGATGGGTTATTGGAGCAAAATAGGAATTCAACATAGTTCACTTTTATACCGTCACAGATCAGTGAGGAGGAACAAAGCAACAGTAAGCAGAGCCCACGATTCATTTAGTTCATCCACACTTTTTTACAAATTCGTTTTGCTGCGTTTGAACCCTCTCCAGGTACTCCTCTTCATCAATCATCCTCTCTCAAACTCTCTTTTCTACCATTAATGGGTATTAGAAAAAGCTTAAAAAATTTCGTCATGTAAATCTATCCAATCATTTACGGCCCTAGGGATTATGATTCTGTGGTTTTTGTTCGAATTGGTTGGGGACGAAATGATAGTTCTTTTTTGCATTTTCACGTGATATGTTTTTTGGGTTTTTATGGAAATGGTAGTTTCGAGATCCTTCAGGCTCTGTGGTTAAATGTTTTAGGAGGTTAAGGTGAGTGGATCTTTGGGAATTTTTTTTTAAATTAGAAAAGTTCGAATATTTATGTGTAGCTTGAAATTATATTTCACAAATGGATGAGCTGAAAAGATTCATGGAGAACCAAATCAAGAAAAGGAGATTTCTTGGGGTTTTTTTTTTCACCCTTCTAAATAAATGTTCTGTGTTTGATATTGGAAATTAGAACTCCATTGGATTTGTTTGGCCTGAAAGAAGTTTACGATTTAGCTTAAATGAATCTTTTTTTCATTGCTTGAGCACGGTGGATTGTGAGGGTTATGATTGCTGCCCTGTTTTGATGGTTAGTGTCAGTTTGGTCAATTTGACTGAAAATGTTTGGAGCTGGAGGAAGAGTGTTTCACAAATTGTTGCGGGAAAGGCTCCAGTCAATAAGTTTAGAACTTAACTGTTTTCTTTCATTTTTCCCTCTCTGTTTTATTTCTACCCAATAAGCCTTAGTCTAATGGATTTATCTTCCTTCTACCATATTGTATTTCACTTCATTCTGGTTGTTTGTGAAAAACAAAATATCAAGTTTCCGGTTGTGAATGAAGATTAACTTGTTGAGCGTATTATGAGTTTATACAACTTAATTGCCTTACTTGCCTTGTTTCAAACCTTTTGTTTTTTGGAGTGCTGCGACATTTAAGTTCATTGAGAAGACGTAGTTCCCTCATACTTAACTTGTTGTAGTTATCAAAATGGTCTTCTGTACTACCTTTTGTGGGATTGTTGCATTGGGGTTAAGTTCTGCATAACTGAATGTGTATGGTCTGGCATCCATCCCCAAGATTTCTGAAATTTTGAAGAAAACAAAACAATCTGAAAAGTTCTTACTCTACAATATCTGTGGTTGTCTATAGTGTGGCTTGCATGTTTTATTTGTTGCCGAGTGTACAGGAAAAAATGGTATTACTTGAAGCTTTCACTTGTAGGTTCTCGCCTAGCAAACTCTTTCACCATTTATGCTGTGAATGATACCTCAAGGTAGAAAGTAAAGCTAGAGGGATTACAGGTTGGATAAAATTTTTGACTTGCATATGCTTTAAATATAACGGTCAGTTCTAGTTCTTACCACCGTAAATGCTTTATTCTCTGTGTCCTTCCAAAATGAACGAATCTTGTCATCTTGGGAAGCTCATTCTCTGTCCATAAAGCCACCTTTTAATTGATTTTTGTTGCAGAATGAGCTTTTAGAAAGGAACACCCATGATGTTTTATTGATGGCATTGTTTTGCCGAACTAGTTTTTTGGTAAATTCAGTTGCAACTGAGTATATTATACAATTTCATCCAGCTGCAACTTAGTATATTAAAAATATCAACTGCTATTGAAACATTGTTTCTTAGTTTTGAGCAACTGGCACATATTCAAATTCGGTTATGGTTTTAGTCTTTGTAAATGATGGAAGAGTGTGGTTTGGTGTATTTCTGCATTTCTTGATATTAAGTTCTTTGTTGTAACTCCAAAGTAATCTGCAAAATTCTTCTTTTGAGAATATGCAGTTCTTGTCCTGCATTTATCAACAGCCTGTAAAATTGGAATTTAGTGAAGGCTAGTTATTATATTCTCTGTCCTCCCCTCTCATGGAAGCTTAGGCTCGATATATGCATTGCTGTTGCTGAAGGACTTGCTTACCTTCAAGAATGCAGTGGGCAAGCAGTAAACCATCGTCACCTGGAGCTTGCAAATATTCTGTTGGATAAGAATTGGATTCCAAAGATTTCTCATGTTTCTGAGTTTCTGTTGAAGTATACAATAACTCAGAATTTTCGGTGATTGCCAGCATCGGTGATATCAGTTACTAAAGAGTTTCAATCTGATTTTGAGGTAAGGGAACATTCTGGTTTGAGCTCACTTGGTTTGTTGTTGGTAGAAGTTCTTTTGCCAGACGGGTAAACCTTGAAGACCGTGGAGGGTATTTTACTTCATTGCGGAAAAGCATTAATAGCAGAACACTCCATTTAACCATTGACTCCAGTTTGAGATGGGAAATTGCAGCAAAAAGTTTAGCTGAGTATCTAAAGACCATATTTTACTGCTTGCTTGCTAGCAAAGAATTGCCAACATCAGTTGTTGCTACTGCATTTAAACTCAAGTCTGCTTTGGAGTTACAGAAGAAAGCAGAATCAATCATGCTACAAATGTGGAATAAAGCAGAATCAACCGTGCTACAAATGTGGAATAACCGGCGAATGACCATATCAACACAAATGTGGAATGCGTGTTAGAGTTTTGAATTTTGTGGAATTTGTATGTGTTGAATGTGTGGAATTTAAAATGTTGTGTATTTATTACAAGTCTTATGAACTATTTGTTGTTTCTTTTGAGAGTTGAACATTTAAAAATCTTTCGATACCAATATTCCAAACTTATCATGCGTTTGATAAGTTAGATTGGTTTTAATATTATGTTTTAATTTAGTCAGAATGGTTTTAAAATTATACTCTAATTTTGATTTATGCTGGAAGATAAAGTGTGGAAAAGAAAATTTTGGAAAAAGATAATTGCAAATAAGAAAACAAAAATTTAGGAAAAGAAAGTGAAAGAAAATGAAAATGACAATTTGTGTAAAAATGATTTTTTTTTAAAAAAAAAAAGTTCACAAATTATTTTGAAGAAAAAGTAATTTTGAAAAAGACTAGTCCAAATGACTTTTTAATATTCTTAATTACTAAAAGGGTTTTGAAAAATTCTTGTCCAAATGCATTATTTTTCAAAAAGTACTTTTCTAAATTTTGGTTCAAACAGACTTTTTAAAACAAATTTTCAAAACACTTGTCCAAATGGAGCCTTATATTGTAAAGCAAAAAACTTTCTAAATTTCTAAAAGGGTTTTCAAACTTTCTAAATTTTCAAAAAATATACCGTCCTTGTTCAAACAGACTGTTAACTTCTATCTCCAGAAAAACGTTTATAGCAGTCCCAAATGTTGTAAAGCAATTCGACAGTATTGAAAAACTGACAGCATGAGGATCAAGGATCAAGATCCAAATGTTCGAGAAACCAACCTGTGGATGATCTAAGGAAGTAAAGTGCGTTTCGAAACTCTCTAATTTAGAATTTCTACAAGACCAATCTAATTTATCAAACCCGTGATTTTGTAAATAGTTTTTTTCAAAATATTTTAGTAACTTAACATCTTTTACGCTCATGATTTTATTATTCACGAATAGGGATTTCTGTTAATGCATGTTGTCTCATTCTAATCATCTTCTTTAAATCTAACAGACTGACTTTCGTACTACTTTTGTGTTATTGGTTAATGATACTTTAGTATCATTATTAAAATCTAAAGAATAACATATATTCCCTTAAATATTTAATTTGAAGAAATTAATCATGCAGCAGCCTCGCTCTCAAACATTTTCTTAATTATTTTTATTTCTTATATATCTTTTACACTCTACTAGTGTGTGTCTCGCGCTTTGCGCGGCTTTGTCAATGTTGAAAATTTATATTTCAAAAGAATTGATTAGATAATGTAGTTACAAATATACCGTCCTTATTCTCTTAAAAAAAATGTAGTTACTAATATTTCTTAAAACTGTAATATGTTTTTGATTAATCAGTTTTATATCAAAATGAGAGGTATTGATATTATTTATGAGAGGTATATTTGTAAGATCTGGTAAAAAATATTACAACAAAGATTTTCAAAAGTTGTATATTAAAAATTGTCACCACTAACTAATGTTATGTTTGGTTTAAAAAATATATTTAAAAAATGCGTAAATTATGTCTAGATACATATGGCCTATTTTTATAGGCAAGTGGACTTTGGGGATTAGATGTAGTTCTAATAAAATACGAGACATAATTAATCGTCTTTGAAAATGTAAAATCGATAGACTTGAAAACTAAATAGTACACAAATGGAACTTTAAGGGCCAAAATGACAATAGGTTGAAAGTTTAAACTTGTAAATGAAAGGACTTCTGAAGTCGGGAGTTTCTCAGCAATTTTCAAAAATATTCATTTTAAAGCTCACAATCAAGAATTTGTAATATCTGTAAAAATCTTATATACTTCCTCTGTCCCACAAAAATAGTCCAGTTTGAAACTGTACAACTTTTTTAATTTAGTCAACACACCAAATGTACAATCCATTTCATTCCCCTAACTTCCACTAATGCCCCTTATCACAGATACAGGGAACCCAAACTTCAGAGTCATCGTGTCCAGCCCAATTCTTCATAAACTTGAGCACATCATAGTGTGAAACAAGTGTTTCATGAAGCAGGGTTGTAAGCAGGTAGAAATTACCGTTACAAAAAATTAGGATTCCCAATGAATGGAAGGTTTTTAGCTAGATCTTCAACATTAACTTACTTTTTGGCACTCCCGGCAATGTGGCTTTGTAATTGTTAAACCTTTGTTCTGCAACCAAAATAAACTATCAACCTCAAAGAAAAATGAACTGGACAAAAATATTAGCAATTAAGATACAATACATACAACCATCAATCTGTTAATACCTTAATGGTCAAGGTCTCGGGACTAATATAGTTCTGAAAAGAGAGGATCTCAAGAACGCCGGCAAAGGGTTGCGAATCATGATTCCATTCAAACAGTGGCAAAACGCAGTAAGCCTTAATGCCACAATGTTTAGCAATATGCTTCAAGGGAAACTCCTCATCCGAACAATAATGTATGTCCAAACAATACTCTAACGATCCTTGTGAGAACACCCTTCCAAGGGGACCTAACTGATTGATATCTTCCACAAGGCTTTCTTGCCGGATGCAAGAGTGCCTATAACCACAGAACCCATTGAAGAGGTAACTCATTCCAAAAGGTTGCCCCTTAACAGATAGCATCATCCGCCCTTTTTTTGTTACTATGGGTGCCCAAAACTGAACTAAAACATCTCTTCCCCAGTTTTGTGACAAAATTAACGAGGTGACCTTTTCCTCAATCGACTTTGATTCTGGTGGGCTGCTAACAAACCCTGAAATTCTACATATGCATTTATGGACACTGATGTAACTTAAAAGGATTCAAGAAAACGGCACGCCACGCTGAGACTAAAAAAATAAATTAGCACCGCAATAATAACTTACTTGGAGGATTCAGTCGTTTTGGGGAACCAAAAGCCTCGTAAATTTGTGCCATGGCATTCCTCAATGCCGGGCATATGACTGAGGAAGTCATGATCACTGCACATTTCGTTGTGCTTTATTTCATGGAGTTGTTGGAGTAGTGCATCCTGTATTTGGGTTGCAGAAAGCTGAGGAGAACCTTCAGAATCGAAATCCATCAATGATTTGAAGGGAACAAATTAAAATCCAGTGAGAAATGATTTATTCAATTGTCTTCCATTCCCATCCAACCTTAATTTATAAACTTTTTAAAACACTTTTAACTCCACTAACCAATCATATTCATAGTAATATAAAATTCACAATATATACCTTCCTAATCATCCATGATAGTACAACATAAGCGGGGAAAAGATGGAATCAAAACTTATCTTTTTACTACAGTGTTCCACCTAGTGACTTCCTTTTTTATTATTTATTCCGGTGACTTGACTATTGCAATTGATCCAGTCAGCTGAAAGAAAGAAACTTGCTTTTTTAAAAAAATTTATTCTTTTGTGTCTCCATCAAAGCGGTCATTTGTTCTCTGGTCTTTTTGGAGGATGAAGTTCAATAAGTTCAATGAATCAGATGGTTCATGGAAACTTTTATTTCCACCCTAGTAAAAGTTGGTTTTCTTCTTTATGAGTCTCACTAATCAACTAAACAAAAAGTAATAATATGAGTTTATGGTTTCGACCATTTTAGTTCTGAATGTGATCTAGAAAGTTTGATACAATGTCACATTATTAGTCTCAAATATGATCACTAGATAATGTAGATTAATCATTTTCTGTTATATCTGTCCAACAAATTAATGGCATTACTGAGGGGAACAATTGTTGACCTTATGGATTTTAAAAACTACACAAACCGTTCGAAATATTATAGAGATGTTATACAAAATAAAACTGTCTAGCAAAACAACTCATTTAACTGAATCTTGCATGCTGAAGTCTTCAAATTCTGCACCCTAAAATGCATTTGTGATTTTGCAAGCAAAAAGGTAAAGGTAAAGGGAAAAAAAAGGAAAAAAGGAAAAAGAAGCAAAAAGTTCTGCTTTTACAGAAACAGAGTGAAGACTATCCCCTGCTAAGTTCATTACGAAGATACAGCAAGTAGTGTTTAAGCCTTTCTAAAACCATGAATTCAAAAACCATATTGATAGATTCACACGGTAGACAAGGAGAGAAATTTTATGATGCCACAAAGGGCCTTGCTATTTCACTCCATTTACAAGATTAAATAACCTTAGTCCTACCAAAGATTTACGCCCAAAGTAAAAACCATATGCTAATTCTCATCATAATTTCTATTCAATTACCATGTACCGTCCTTTTGTGAACTGAATTTGGACAATAGATATAGCGTTCTCAGAAAAAGGTTCTGTTTAGGGTTTGCGGTTGATGTTGTCAGGTTAAAACCAAAAGAAGGTAAAGAGAAGATACGCCTAAAGCAACTCCAATTGTCCATGTTAAAATTTTGATTTTCCAAGAAATGGAAAATGATATCAGCAGAGCAACTGTAATGTAATATCAACTATGCTAAATCGCTTATAAACCATTAATACAGAAAATTCAAACTTTTAGATAAGGAACATGTTCTGGAGCATCAAACAAGAACAAATTTTGGATTCTTCATTATTTCTTGGACTCACAGGGATAAAAACTAATTGAGGTATCCGAAGGTAAATCATTTTTTCGAGGGGAAGAAAAAAATATATAGGCTGTACCTATGATCATCAATAGTGCCGGCCGCGGAGAAGTGACATGAGCTCCGGCGGCAGATGGAATGGAAGTGAAAGAGACCCCCCCCCCCACCCCCCGGCGGGATTAGGTAGGGTTTATCCAGATGGGTGTTCTGTTTCCCGCTGTCGCTTTGAAAAACACTTCAAAATGGGCGAGAGAGTTATCATTTTTTCGCTATGGATTTGGCTGTGGGTTACAATCTCACAACAAAACTCATTGGAAATCGCAAAAACAACAATTATCCACAACATATTGCCGTGGTTGTTTCCTGGTTTAGAAATTGGGCACCCAAAAAAAAATAAAAATAAAATCCAATTCTGGGGAAATTCTTCATCAATATTAATAATGGCGACTAGAGGATTAGAAAGTAGCACAGTATCTGAAATCTATAGCCTCTGGAAACTCATAGCATCAATATCAGGACCTTCTGAATATCAACCCTCCAATTCCGTGGTCTCGACTGATGAGGCTACCTAAATAGGCCGAATCTGTTTTGTACTCATCGATTGTTTGGTAGCTAAGAATCCAGTTTTCCTATTTCGTAAGGACATTAAAAAAAAAAAAAAAAAGAACAGTTGCACTATAAGGCTCCGTTTGGTTAGATTGAATTGCAATTGAATTAGAATTACAATACTATTAAATTGAAAATAAGATATTAATATTGTAATTCAATCTCAATTCTCTTGTTTGGGAGATCTTGAAAATTTACTAGAATTAAGGTTCTAATTCCAATTCTTGCATTTGGATGCATAAAAATTTGGATACTTTAGAATTGAAGTTAGTTTGTTATTGTATAACTAATAATAGTACAATTTATATTTCTTGTCAAAAAAAAAATTTTTAAAAAAAATTTTATTCTGGATATGTATAATACAAAAAAATAAATAAATTCATTATGTACATGTATATTTGACTACGTTGTGGTTGTTTAACTAATACAATTTTTACTTTTTTTGTTAATACGAATTATTATTATTAATTAATTTGTTATATCAATTTTGTAATTTATTATGTACACACATTTTTGTTGGAAACAAAAGAAATATTATTACGTATAAGAACTATTAATATGATACTTAAAATTCTCACTTAATACACAAACAAGTAACATATAAAACATCTTTGTTTTCCGCTCTTTTATTATTTTTCAAGATTTTTAATTTTTTTATGTTTTGATTTATATCAAAAATTAAAAAGATTTTTATTATATAACATTGTAAATTCAGTTTATAAATATTGATGTTCATTTATACTTAGATTAACATTAGTATATAATATATGCTTAAATGTTTTTATTTTTAGTATATAATTATATATGAAATAATAGATACTTAAAACTCAACTTACATAATTTTTTGTGAAAAGATGCCATGAATAGTTAATATATATATATATATATGTATTATAATATAGGTGTATATATGGAACAATTTCTATTAAAAAAATGAAAATGTTATGTTGTTTACCGTGTCATAATATAATAAAAATATTAACCAAAACTAAAATATTTAGTTATTAATTTTTTTTTGTTACAGCTATACTTTTGATTTTTTTGTATAAAAGATACAATGTTAATTTTAGATTGATTTCGTTGATAATTATTAAAACGATATATATGAAATAATAATAATAATAATAATAATAATAATAATAATAATAATAATAATAATAATAATGAGACAAACAGCCCCAAAAAAAAGAAAAAAAAAAGAAAAGAAAAATGCCCGGAAGCGCTGAAAGCAAAAAAAGAAAAAGAAAAAAGCTGAAAAAATAAAATTATAAAAAATCATTATATATATTAAAGGAAAGAAAGATAATCGACACGTGTCATTTATTGAGTCCATCAAGCCTCAATTAACACGTGTCATTTGCTAATTTGTTGATCATTAATCAGTTAAAAAAATTTTATGTAAACAATTTAGAAATTATTTACTATATAAGATTTTTATAGATATTACAAATTCATGATTGTGAGTTTGAAAAAGAATATTTTTGAAAATTGTTGAGAAACCCCCGATTTCAGAAGTCCTTCATTAACGAGTTTAAACTTTTAATTTATTACTCCCTGCGTCCCATAATTATTGTCCAGTTTGAGTTTTCATTTCTAATTCAAATTGTACTAAAAGTGAAATCTCAAACTGAACAATAATTTTGGGACAGAGGGAGTATCATTTTGGCCCTTAAAGTTCTATTTATGTACTACTTAGTTTTCAAGTTTATCGATTTTATATTTTTAAGGACGATTAATTGTGTCTAATCCCCAAAGTCCCCTTGCCTATAAATAGACCATAGGCATCTAGACATAATTTACGTATTTTTAAATATATTTTTTAATCCAAACATAACATTAGTTAGTGGTGATAATTTTTATTATATAACTTTTGAAAATCTTTGTTGTAATATTTTTTACCAGTCTTACAAATATACATCTCATAATAATATCAATACCTTTCATTTTGATCTAAAGTTTATTAATAAAAAAATATTACGATTTTAAGAAATATTAGTAACTACATTATCTAATTAATTCTTTTGAAAGATAAATTTTCAACATTGACAAACCCGTGCAAAGCGCGAGACACATACTAGTATATAAAAAAAAAGGACCAAAAGACAAAAATTGATAGGACGACCCGTTTAGGTTATAACCCGAAAACGACCCGGCTATGACCCACATTTTTTTAAGTGCCTTGAATTTGGATTCTAATTATTTGCTCCCACAAAAGAATTGAAAATAAAGAATTGAGCTCCATCTTGAATTATAATTACAATTCTTGGACCTCTATTTTTAGCAACCAAACACAAGAATTAGAATTATAGAGCTCCAATTCCAATTCTTGGTCCCAATTCAATGCAACCAAACAAAGCCTAAATGTAATCCAGAATGAAAGAAAACTTACCCCTCTGTGGATCTATTTTAACATTTTTGTGTGTGTTGTGACTGACTGATTTGATGGGACTGCATTTATGCAATTTCAGGTTCAGGTTCAGGCTCTGACATGTAAGCTAGCTGTGCAAGCTTCATTTCCTGCTTATTATCAGGGGACAGATACATCATTTGAATTCTGCGTAACAGTTTGGAATTCATATGATTACACAATAACAAATTGGCGAATGATAACACTAAAAAAGCATCAAATTCATTCTAGTTTGCCTTGCTGATATCAGACTATTAATGTAAAACTGTAAATCTTCTCGCCGGCAATCAGAATCCAATCACAACCTTCCTTGTCCTCGTATTTTATCTTTGTTGGGGATTTTGATCCCCTTTACACACAAATTGCTGGAAGTTTACTCACTCAACAAAACACAGAGCGGAATTAAAGTAAATAACCAAACAAACACAACAAGAAGCACAAACACAAAATTGCGTAGTTTGATCTCTCATAGATCTACGTCCACGGAATGGAAACACTTTCACTAGGATAAGAATAGAAGATTTTAAAAAGATGGCGCCTCTTTCAACACACTATGTCTCTCTCCCTCAATTCTACCCTTATACTCTCTCACAAAGTATTTTCCATCACTGACCTCCAATGTGCTATGGGAAAGAAAGATGCACATCACAACACAAAGAAGTAGGAGCTAGGAGAGGATCTCCACTCAACTCAATCCTAATTCTACCCCCCTCACTCAAGAGCTCTCTCAATTGAGTGGCTACATCTTGCCTCTCTTCTCCCCAACTAAGTTTAGTACCAAACTTTCCTATTTATACTAAAACCCTACAGAACTATTACAACCTTATTGGACTCAAAATAGGCCCAATACTCAGCATCATGGGCTTGGGAATTTGAGGAGATACCCAAAAAATCATCCCTCGACTCAAAATCCCAAGTGCAGTAACAACATCTTCAAGAACAAGGCTTGCATCTCTATCTTCAACTTGAGCTCTTCACCACGAATGTCAAGTGAACCACAAACATGTATCACGAATCATCAACTCCTCAGAAATAGGACAACCTCTTCATGTGTGAGAATGTCAACAAAACACACACCTATCTCTGCTTCCATCATCAACACCACAACAAGTACACACTAGCACTGAGTCATTCTCTACTTTGACATTCCTCCTCCTATCATCTCTGCAAACTCTTCAAGTCTTCATCACAATAGGGAACCACACCGGATGTGACATCTTCAAACAATATTCTTCACATAATATTGCACCCACTCGACCGAGCTTCAACAAAAGTCACAATCCTCACAAATGACTCACGACACACAACTAGTGCGTCAACCTCCAACATCATCTCAATGTTAAACCAAAGGACTCAATCATCTTGTACCGCTGCTCTTGACTAGCAGGACACACCGCCTGACCAATATATCAGGTAGACTTTTGACACAAGGAAAGCTCATACAAATCCAAATGGTTCAACTTGAAACACAACAACACATTCTGCACACTCTCCTCTCGCAACACATCCTCAACACGTCAAACCACACATCTCTTCATCAAGATTATCCTCCACGAGTAAATCTTGGAACACCAGGCACCACCACATCACAAAATTTCAGCTCCCACAAAGATTGGAGGCGCACACAACCATTTCCACATCTTTTTACAACTTTCCTACACCCCTACCACACTTCAATTCAGCAAAACAGCACCAACCAAATTGAATTTGACAAAATTAATGCCAAAAACGAACTTAGCACGTCGAAATAGGGGGATAGGTCACATGAAAATTTTTTATGATGTGGCAGTCAAACTTGACTTTGACCGATGGCATGGTAGCATAGTCAGCACCTACTTGGCAGACACATCAGCGACATATCAGCAACATGTGGCACAACCTCAAAATGCCACATGGCATCCAACTTCAACCTCAACACGTGGACCAAACAGCACGCGCCACTTGTCCACATATGATACCACTTAGTAGCAAACTTGGCTCAATATCACGCTGCCACGTGTCAGCACCTCAGCAAAACCCTAATCTCTTCATCTCAGTTGTCACTCCAACGAACGGTCCAAAACGCCTAATCTTCAATCTGAGATATCTCAACATCCAACGGTCGAATTCTTCTCAAACTTCACAGCTAACCCAAATTGATGGGTAGATTCCAGATCTGGTGTCTGATTAGCGAGATTCTGCTCCGTTGGCCAGAAAACACTGCATCAGCTGGAATCCTTCTTTCGACGATTCCTCTCTCTCTAGTGGTCCAATGCTCACGAAACTTGGCCATCTCAACATTTTTTGTTATGGGGAATTCAACCATCAACTTTGAACTTTCAGCTCTAATACCACTTGTTGGGGATTTTGATCCCTTCTACACAAAAATTGCTGGAAGTTTACTCACCCAAGAACACACGCAGCGGAATTAAAGTAAATAACCAAGCAAATACAACAGGAAGCACAAACACAAAATTACGTGGTTCGATCTCTCATAGATCTACGTCCACGGGAATGGCAATACTTTCACTTGCATAAGAATAGAAGAGTTTACAAAGGTGGAGCCTCTCTCAATACACTATGTCTCTCTCCCTCAATTCTACCTTTATACTCTCTCACAAAGTGTTTCCCATCACTCACCTCCAATGCACACATCACTACACAAAGAAGTAGGAACTAGGAGAGGATCTCCACTCAACTCAATCCTAATTCTACCCCCCCCCCTCACTCAAGAGCTCTCTCTCAATTGAGTGGCTACATCTTGCCTCTCTTCTCCCCAACTAGGTTTAGTACAAAAATTTTCTATTTATACTAAAACCCTACACAACTATTACAACCTTATTGGACTCAAAATAAGCACAATACTCAACATCATGAGCTTGGGAATTTGAGGAGATACCCAACAATCTTGAATCCCTTCTTTCCTTGTTTGAATCTCTCTTTCAATTCCTTAAACAATTCCTCAAATCCTGAGTTGCTGCGCAAATGAAACTTTACAGTGTCGCCTTTGTCATTGCTTTGACAATCATCTCGTGAGTTTGGTTGATATCATTTTCTGCATCACTACCTTTATTATTTGCACTTGAGAGCATGGAATTGGCACTTCGTATCTCTTTCTCTGTTGAATTATGATTGCCGATTTCAGATTCTCGGACAACATCACACCTCCCTCCAGAGATCCTTTACTGAGCCTAGGATTTTGCTGCATGCCGTCTACTACTTTATTTCTCTTGGGGCATGGCCACCTTTTTATACCATGATCTCGGCATCTACATTTTACAGTAGAATGGCTAACTACAAAAAAAGAAAAATGCCATGACATTTCAGACATAAAGATGTTGAGTATAAGAGTTAGGCATTAAAGACAAAATGAAAAGAGATTGGGGTCTCACATTCGAGTTCTTTTTCAGTGTCATCAAGTTTAAACCTAAGCTGATTGTACCGTTCAATAATTTTCAAGCTGATTTCTGTTCTACTAGTGAGGAAAATTGATCCCCTAGAAGTCTGAGCCGCAACTCCTTGGGCTGTTGTTGTTGATTAAGTGATATGAGCTGCTGTTCTCTTTCATCCCCTAAAGAATCTTGCATTTGGATTTGATTATCTCCAATATTTTCTACTTCGGTATCATTCAAAATAATCTGACCATCATCATCTGCAGAAATTCCTATTACAGTCTCACCTCTATCATGCGAATTCAGAAAAATGCCAGCTTCCCCGCTGGGTAGTTTTTCAAATGATGGCGATTGACGCTCTCTTTCACATCCTGAATGTTCACGGCATTGAACTTTTGTACCTTCAGCATTATCGTCGACATTTGAGATGATTTGAGCTGTAGCTTTTGTAAATGAAGGATCACCTCTGGATTGTGTATTAGGATTGTGAATGAAATCGGACTCCAACATGCTAGCTGCATTATCAGTCTCGTTGAACATTATCTTCTAATGTTTCACTCTGATCTGTAGTTTCATCTCTTCGGCATACATCATAGTACACATAGTTATCATCATCAGAGTAAGGATATTCAACAAAGAATGCCTTGTATTGTTTGAATTCGAAAGTAGCGTCATACTTTGAAAGTTCCCGAGCAAATTTAGTCAATAACGAACTCAACATCGCCTCCGAATAAATACTTCCAATATCAGGTGAGGAAGCTTGGGATGAATTAACTTCAAGGGGATCGCAAAACAAGGCGATATAGGACTTGTACGAGTCAAATGAACTATGGGGTAATCACAGATGCTGCACTAACTTGGATCTCTGAAGAAACAAAGCTTATTGAGTGAATATGCTTTTTTCCAACCCAACTTTTACCATTCTTTACAAAAATAAGTTTCAATGTTGGAACAATAATTCAAAAGCTCATACTCTCTATCCCAATAGAACCATGGTGATTGACAAAATAACTGCGCAGTAATCTGCTCTGTGGACGGATTTGAGAAATATCCAGCAGAAGTCCCCTGATGATCACAAATATAGGGAACCCAAACTTTTCCATCCACTTTCTTCAGAAACTTCAGCACATCATACTTCGAAGAGAGTAAATTCCGATGAAACTGGATTGAGAATTTGAGATCATGTCAACATTAGAGTTACAACAAAATTAACATTTTACATGGAATGAAGCTTTTTAGTTGATGTGTAATAGTATAATGAATAATAATTGAACATAAATGTACCATCCAACTTACTCTCTTGCATTCCTCACAATGTGGATTCGTGCTTACAAAATCTGGAAAGAGATTCAAAAGGAAAATTAACAGTCAGAAAATGCAATGCATTGGCAGAGAATAATATTCCCAATTAAAACAAAACATTAACCAATACCTCGAACAATAAAGTTTTTTGTGAAAGAACACTCTGAAAAGAGAGGATCTCAAGTACTCCAACGCATGGTTGCAAATCATGACGCCGTTGAAAAAGTGGCAAAGCCCAGTAGCCCTTGATTCCGAAAGTGTCTGCATAACTCTTTATCGGAAACTCCTCATTTAAGTAATAATTTACGTCCAAAGAATGTTCTGATGATCCTTGTGAGAACACCCTCCAAGTGGAACAAACCGACTCATATCTTCCACAAAGCTTCCTTGCTCAATGCAACAACACCTATATCCTCAGAACCCATGGCAGAGTCCACTGAGTCCAAAAGGCTACCCCTACACAAATAAGAGTATCTGGCCGTTTTTTGTTACAATGGGTGCCCAAAACTGTATTAGAACATCATCAATTCCACGAATCGAAATGACAAAAGCAGCGACTTGATCTTATCCTGGATCGATTGGATGATAACACAACCTAAAATTCTACAGATGAACAACCCTTTAAAGCCAGGAATGTGGCATAGACTTCTAATGTTATTAAAGCTTACGTCAACATATCTATGGACTATGGTGGAAAACTTCTATATTTTCTTGTCAATTTTCCGCATGTATTCAATCTCTTATATTTCATTCTACATCTATCCCAAAAAGAACAAGAAAGTTTTGGAAACATCACTTACTCAAAGGTGCTGGAGGTAGCGGGTATGAAATTTCCGTCGGATTCGGTTGTTTTCGGGTACCAAAAAACTCTCAACTAACCAAACCTCTTATAGCCCAAGAGGGTATCATGGCATTCCTCTATCCCAGGGAAAAAGATGAGGAAATCATGATTACTGATCTGTAAATAGTTCTAAACAATTGTCGATCCGTTCATCGATTTTTTTCAAAGTGTTAGTATGCCACCCATCAAAGTTTATATCTCAATAATTCTTGCATAGAAGAAAAACGAATTTAGATTTCAATTTGGGGAAGAACTTTCCATTCAATCAATTCTGGAAAAACTTGGTCAAAACGACCTGTGTACAAGTATTTATATTGGACTGAAAACTGACTTAGTCAACTACTTCAACTATGCTCTAATTACAAATTCAGTCCCTAGAACTATTACATATTAACAAAAAGTGAAATGCTATAATCAACATATCCTGAAATCAATTACATGGTCAACCTGATTTGCTTCATGAACTGAAACTTCATTCCACACGCCCTCCTCAAGATGAGATTGGGACAAGCCCATCTTACCAAGTAAAACATCAAAGTGTAGTGAGGGAATAGACTTGGTCAGCAAATCTGCAATCTGGTGAGAAGAACCAATGTGGTTAAGAGCAATAAAACCTTGCTTGTAGAGGTCACGCACCACATGACAGTCAATGTCAATGTGTTTGGTGCATTCATGGAAGACAGGATTGGCTGAAATGTGAAGTGTTGCCCGGTAGTCACAACAAAAATCAATGGAAGACAGACAGAAACCAAGAAGTCCTTGAGGATATAACAAATCCATTGGAGCTCCCGGACTGTAATGGACATGGCCCTGTATTCTACTTCAGCAGAAGAACGGGAAACAGTTCCTTGTTTCTTGGTTTTCCACAAAACCAAACATTTACTCAAAAAAACACAGTAACTTGTCAAAGATCTACGAGTAAAGGAACAACTTCCCCAGTCTGCATCACTATATGCCTGGGGCTGTAAAGAGGTGGAACTAGGGTAAAAAAATATCCCTTAAAAGGACATCCAGCTAAATAGCGAAGCACATGGGTGGCAGCTTGCCAATGAGACTGCAACGGAGCATGCACAAATTGGCTCAGCTGCTGGACAGCATAAGCCAAGTTTGGTCTAGTAAAATTCAGATAAAGGAGACGACCTATGAGCCTGCGATACTTGGCAGGATCAAAGGAAGAAGGATTGGGATCCTTAGCAAGGAATTTGGAGTCCTTTGGAAAAGGTCTAGAAGCTGGATGACAATCTAACATTTCAGTATCCCGTAGAATATCAACAACATACTTCTATTGACAAATATATAAACCAGCTAATGACCTAACTATTTCCAGGCCCAGAAAGTACTTAGCGAAACCGAGGTCTTTGATAGAAAAAGTATCATCCAAAAACTTCTTAAGTCTAATAATTTGTGCTTCATCAGACCCAGTAAGAACCACATCATCGACGTAAACCAGTAGAAACAATTGACAAGAGGCTATAATATAAGTAAACAAATAGTACTCATGCACAAACTTAACGAAACCAAAATCCAAGAATTTAGAGGTAAATTCTGCATTCCACTGACGAGAAGCCTGTTTCAGACCATACAGGGACTTTTTCAACTTACAAACTTAACCCGGAAGACCTTTAGTATACCCCCGTGGAGGCAGCATATAAACTTCCTCATCAATATACCCATGAAAAAAAGTGTTATTTACATCCAACTGATGTAAAGACCAAGAGTAACTAGCTGCAACAGCAAATAGTATTCTAACAGTTACCGATTTGGCAACTGGACTAAAAATTTTAGAGTAATCTTCACCCTCTATTTGTGTATAGCCTTTGCAAATAAGTCGAGCCTTGAAATGATCTATGCTACCATCTGGCTTACACTTTATTCTATAAACCCATTTAGACCCAATAGGCTTCTCTCCATCAGGTAAATAAGCTAACTCCCAGGTTTCATTTTTCTCCAAGGCATCTAACTCAAGGTTCATAGCTTCTATCCACTTTGCATTAGTCCTAGCATAGGTGTAAGGTTCTAGAAAAATAGACAAATTAGCTACAAAAGTCTCATGAGTCTTAGAAAAAACACAACAATCATTAGAAATGAAACTGAAAGAAGGGTGACGAGTCCAAACTGAACCCTAGACTTATTGGGCCTAGGATAAGGTTACTTGGAGATTAAGCTACTGCCTAAACCTATTTCGCTAGGGTTTCAGAAAACAGGTAACACAACCTCTATATAAAGAGGTGATGCTTCTCCCATAATACATATCTTAAGTCCTTAATTGGTCCCACTAGGCGTCGGCGGATGGTCTTAAACCCTAAACAGACTTTCTACACCTCACACACACAACTACCTCTCTCTATTCTCTCTATTAAGGACTTAAGTATCGGAAAGTCTACCCTCGGGAGACACCCGAGGCTCTGGCTTGCAAGTTTTAGTCCATCCGTCGACGCCTAGATCATTGTCGCCGCCTGTCCTCAGTCACCGTACAAATCCAGGCTTCGTCAAGTGGCACGCCTTGTGGGTCCAATTTGTTTAGTATTCACAACCAAATAAATTTCTTGAAACGAAGTCGAAATTTATTGGTGCTTCATTATGTAAACGATGATGACCTACTTTATAACTTGTTTGTCCGGCTGCAATAGAGGTGCATAGTTGCTGCTGAAAAAAAAAAGGCAGCCAAGAAAAAACGTAACAATCATTCAAGAATAAAGAAATTTTTGCAGACCTAATAGTTGTTGGGTCCCACGTCGACTTCTTCTTCTCGACGGCCAGCTCGACGAGTTCCTTGTCGACTTACACACCAACTTTCTCCCGCTGACAAAGAGGCCGATGAAGACGCGGGCGACTTTCATGTCGAGTTACTCCCTCTGACGCAGAAGCTGACAGCACGAACTTTCTTCTCAAATTTTGGAAACAAGCCCGAGAAGATTCATCAATTTTTAGATTTGGCAACTCAGCCCCTCTAACCTTTTATGGTTGATTAACCCTAATAGTTTTTTAATTTGCAGATTAACCCTCTTAACCTCAAAGCAAGGGGGCAATTTTGAAGATTGAAGTTTCGAGAGATGAGAGATATATCTCCTCGAAGGGGCAAGCATCCTTCGAGCACCATACTACTACCCGAAGTGTTCGAGAAGACGTATGTCGACTTTTATCTACTCAACAACTACCTTCTCGGAATCGAGGTAACACTTTCTCGAGTAATCAATTTATCTCGAGACTACGGTACTTCTCAAACCTTTTTTAATGTATTTCTCGAATCTAAATCAATCTATTACTGATATCATAAGCATATTACTACTATCATATCAAGATATATTTTTAAGCACGATCAAAGGAGTTCTTCAAGTTACCAACCCTCTCGCGGTAAAACCCTATCACCCTTCAATAAGGAAAACATACTCGGGGGCACAAACAGGGACATATCCTTGGGGCAAGGAATTTGAGGGATCATCCTAATATCCTCTGCTTGAACTGATATTACTCATAATCATCTTATTACTATATGTCATTACATTAGTACATTATCTATCGCATCTCAAACATCCAAACATATAGGGTTCCTCCCTACAAATAAGGAAATCGAGGCGCCATCCTCCCAATTCGGCATCTAGGCTCTATCCTCCCTATTCGGCATCTAGGCGCCATCCTCCTAATTCGGCATATACAGGCTTCCCCCTCCTAATCAGGAACTCACTAATACAAAGACCTCCTCGAGACATTTTATTCTCTTTATCTAATATATGTGACACCCGAGAACGAAAGAGTTCGAGAATTGGGGCAACACCACAAAACTCGAGAAGACATCAACACTCGTAGCAACCCGTATCCTTCTCGGCGAACCTCGACAATATGGCTTGCTAGGGGCACTTGACGAGTTCAAACTGAACCCTACGCTTATTGGGCCTAGAATTAGGTTACTTGGAGATTAAGCCACCGCCTAAACCTATTCCGCTAGGGTTTCAGGAAACAGGTAATACCACCTCTATATAAAGACGTGGTGCAACTCCCATAATACATATCTTCTACCTATCTTCTAGACCTCACACACACACACAACTACCTCTCTCTCTATTCTTTCTATTCCCTTATTGACTTAAGCATTGGAGAGTCTACCATTGGGAGATACCCAAGGCTCTGCCTTGCAGGTTTTAGGCCTTTCAGCGCCACCTAGATCATCGTCGCCTCCTGTCCTAAGGAACCATACAAATCTAGGCTTCGTCAAAGGGGAAGCAGTACAATTATTTACTAGCACAAAATCATCAAAATGACTAGGATGTTTAGATGGTCGATTACTTCTACGAGGAGCGGGTGCATCCACAGGTGCACTTTCAGGTAATGCAGCAGGTGAATGTAAAACAGAAGGTTCTGGATGAGAAGAGGATGAAGGAATTAAGAAGGATCACGGGAAATGAAATCAGAGACAGAATGACCAGGTGTTGTAGGAAGCACAAAGTCATTAGAATAAGAATCATCAACAGGTTTAGGGAGCACAATATCAGACTTGGTCTCTGTTTGAAGAGGAAAGATGTGCTCATAAAAAACATCATGAGATATAATGTGTCTTATGTAAAGAGGGACACTAGATTTTGTACCCTTTTGACCCTGCAGATACCCCACAAAAACCCCTTTGAGACTCCTAGGATCAAATTTATCTCGGTGAGGAGTGTTATCTATGGAAAAAGCTAAGCAACCAAGAGTTTTTAGCATGGATAGATCTGGTGCTTTACAATGAAGAATTTCGAAAGGAGTTTTCCGCTTTAGAATATGGGAAGGTAGTCTATTGATTAAAAAAGTGGTTGTGAGAACAGTATCTCCCCAAAATTGTTTGGGGTAAATGAGATTGAATGAGTAAAGAATGAGCCACTTGGAGTAGATCTGGTGTTTTCATTCAACCACTCCATTTTGTTGGGGTGTATACGGACAACTCCTTTGATGAACGATACCTAATTTAGAGAAAAGGTTTTGACAGGTTTCATTAAGGAACTCAGTCCCATTGTCACTTTTGACTAGTCGAACATGACTGTCAAACTGATTTTTAACCATGTGACAGAAAGTTTCTATAATTGAACTAACTTGATGTTTATATTTCATCAAGAAAGTCCATGTACATGTGTTGTAATCATCTACAACAGTTAGGAAGTAATGAAAACCAGAATTAGTTGAATGTTTATAAGGGCCCCAAACATCAAGATGCAAAAGCTGTAATATTTGGATACTTTGAATAGAACTATTGGAAAAGGATTTTCTGTGTTCTTTAGAAAGAGGACAAACTTCACAGACATCAAGAGCATTAGCATTTACAAGATCATGAATACTACTATACAAATGTCTAAGTACAATATTTGAAGGATGTCCTAGTCGATTATGCCAAGTGGCTACATCAACTACAATGAAAACTTTATTCATGTTGTATTGCTTAGCTCTGAGTACATAGGATGCATAAAATTGCTGACTTTGCTGTATGGTTCGAGAAGAAAAAGAGTCTGGGTGGAGAATGTAGAGTCCCCTGATCTCTTTGCCAGCTGTGATAATTTGACCCGTTTTAAGGTCCTGCAGTAGGCAGAATGAATCGAAGAACTGAAAGGTCAAAAAAGTTTGTGCTAGTTTTTTAACAGACAAAAGATTGTGCTTAAATGATGGTATGTATAGGCATTCTGTACGGTTAAAGTAGGCGAAAGTACCACATCCCCTATCTTATGTACTTCCCTAATACTACCATCAAGTAAAAATACAGGGGTGTACGTTGTTACATTCCTAAGATTAATCATGTTATTTAAACTACAACTCATGTGACATGTAGCTCCTGTGTCATGTATCTAATCAGTTACACTAATGTAATCAGAATAGTCAGAACTAAGCAAAGAGAGAATGATGTTACCTGCAAACTCTCCGAATTCCGGAATGCTTGCATAATGCGCTGATCCTCCATGACTGAAAGCATCATCCTCCACAGTAGCTTTCCCTTTCATTAGTCGACTGACATCCTAGTGCACTACATTAGCAATCAGACTCTGTAGATTCTTATCTTCACCTGCTCTGTCTTCAAAAGGCGTGTCAGCGAGATATGCTTGCTTCTTCACTGTTTGCCCTTGTGGTATAGAACCAGGCCACCATTCTGGGCATCCAATTAGGTCGAAACAGTTATCCTTGATATGCCATGTCTTGTGATAATAAGAACACGACATTTGACTCTTATCCACTTTCTGAAAGTTAGCTTTCCCAGCAATCTTAGCCACCATAGTTTTAGATCCCTGATTCGATTTAAAACCTTCTTTCTTGACTTGTGAAGTCTGTGTCTTCACTGGCACCGTTGAATTACTATGAGAGTGCCACTGTTGTGTCTTTACTGCCATTGCTGAACTCTCACTTGATATAGAGTTTGTCATGCCAACACTGACTTGTTTATGCTTTTCTGCCTTCAGCAACTTCGAGTAGACATATCACAGAGTAGGTGGAGGATCAATCATCAGAATAGCACTCCTCTCTGGTTCATACGCATCATTTAATCCCATGAGGAATTGCATTACTTTATCCTCCATTTCTCGTTCTTGAATCTGCTCTTTGAGCTGACCTGTAGCTGCCAAAGGTGGCCTAAGTTGTCCATACTGATCCTGAAGATTCCTCAACTTACTGTAGTACTGTGGAACTCACAGATCACTTTGTCTCATCATAGCTATGTCACGTTTTAATTCAAAAACCATCAGCAAATTACATGTACCATACGTTTGAGCCAATTTGTCCCAGAACTCCTTGGCATCATTTACAAACATAAAATCCACAGCTATTTCTGGCGACAAGGCATTCTTAATCCAAGACAGCACCATACTATGTACTCTCCATTTTTTTAGCATAGGAGATTTCTCATTATGCATTTCACATGATCTATCAACAGAATCGAATTTATTTTTGGACTCTAAAATAGTAATCATCGCATTTCTCCAAATTAAGTATTCTTACCATTGAGATGGCAGTTAACGATCACTATTCCTGGAGTCTCGGAGCCGTGAAGCTGCAATTCATCGTCAGGGTCAAAGAATTGCAATCGTTTCCTTGAAAACCTCTGAAACCCTTTATCATCAGATCCGAAGCCTCCCTCCATTATTGAAGAAACTAAACCGTACGAGTACAGTATGAACCAAGCGCAACAAAACCTGATAAAAAATAGAACGGCAGAAGCATCTAGCAGAGCAGGATCTATACCATCTTGCGTAGAAGAAAAACGAATTTAGGTTTCAATTTGGGGAAGAACTTTCCATTAAATCGATTCTGGAAAAACTTGGTCAAAACGACCTGTGTATAAGTATTTATAATGGACTAAAAATTGACTTAGTCAACTACTTCAACTATGCTCTAATTATAAATTTAGTCCCTAGAACTATTACATATTAACAAACAGTGAAATGCTATAATCAGCTTATCCTGAAATCAATTACATGGTCAACATGATTTGCTTCCTGAAACTTCATTCAACAATAATTAATATTCATAAGACCTCATCATGCATGACGCTATTGTGTCAGAAAGAAAATCAATTATTTGGTAATTTTCTAGTGCAGTCACGTTCCACCAGGTGACCCCATTTTTAATGCGTACAATTTTGTTTTTATCTCCATTGGAAAAGCTTCACTGAACTTTCTGGTCTATTTGAAGGGGGAAGTTCAAAGAGTTCAATCAACTTGTATACTTGTTTACAAGATTTGTTAGTGTTGACAAGGACAATACACAATTTAAATTCGGTTTCCTCTTTATAAGTCCCATTAATCGAACTAAACAAAAGTATAACTGTTTTTGTAGTTATTTTTTCAAAAAATCTCTCGAAAAATGAGGCACCCGCAGACTTGGGGTCATTCACCCCCGAACTTATCCGTCAAAAAAAAACTGATCTTCAACGGTTTTAAAAAACGTTTCACGGATTCAAAACATCTGATGCCACTCTTTGGCACAAAGGCAAATACTCATAAATAAAAGTAAAAACGCAAGATGATGATTAGAATGAGATATAAACAAAACTTCTGCTTATGAATTTCTGGTAAAATCTTGAATCATTTGTATCAGTTAACTGAACATTTTTATCAGTTAAAACTCATAACAAACGTAGTAAGTGATTTAAGCCGTATCTGATTTACTACGTGATCAGACTGATATACATTCCACAAGTGCCCTAAGTTTTCAATCCCTTGGCAAAAGACCTGGAAGATTAAATAAACTCTAGAAACAGTCTCAAACGAGAAGAAATGAATCTTCTTCAGAATAATGGTCAGAAAATCACTAGAAATGATCCGATCATTTTGGTTCAAAAATTGTGAATCAACATCAAATTAACTCTAGAAAAGCATCAAATCCATTCTAGTTTGCCCTGCAGATACTAAACCATCCATGTATAACTGTAAATCCTTATTGCATGCAATCATAACCAAATCACCTTCCTCCTTGTCCTTGTACTTTATTTTGAACCCCTTCTTTGCTTGTTTGAATCTTTCTTTCAATTCTTTAAGCAATCCATCAAATCCCGAGTAGCTGCGCAAGAAAAACTTTACAATGTCACCCTTGTATGTTGCCTTGACAAGCATCTTCTGAACTTGATCGGTTTCCCGTATCAATACCTTCATTGGACGTGCTTGTGAATGGCGAATTCACACTTGCCACCACTTTCTCTAATGTATTATGATCCCCAACATCAGGTTCTTGAATAACTTCGCCACCACTTTGAAGAGATCTTACTCCAAGCATGGAATTCGGCTGAATGTCGTGTACTTTGTTCCTTTTGGGCCATGGTCACCTTTTTATACCCATATCTCGACATCTACGTTTTATAGTAGAAGGACTGACTGCACAAGAATTAATTCATGACATTTCTAACATGATGATGGTAAGGAAAAGAATAATGGAAAAAGAATATATATATACGTATATAAGAAAAGGAAATCAAAGAATTTCAGAGATCTCACGTCCGAGTTCGGTTTCAACATCTGCAAGTTTGCTGCCCTCATATTGTTGAATAATGGCTAAACTGATTTCATTTCTACCAGTAAGGAAAACTAATCCCGCGGAAGTCTGAGCAGCTTCATTTGCATTGGGACGAACACCATCTTCCGCGGGTGGTTGTTGATCAAGTGCTGGAGGTTGATTGTCTCTTTCAACCGCTACTTGGAATTGACTATCTTCAGCAGCATCTGAAATGATTAGACCATCAGCATCTGTGGAAACTTCTATTAATGCCTCAGCTCTATCTTGTGAATTTTGATAAACACTAGTAATTTCCATGCTTGGCTGTTGACCAAATGATGCAGGTTGCTGATCTTTTCCACCTCCAAGATGTGCACAGGATGGCATTTCCTTATCATTGCCAATACCCAAAATGATTTGAGCAGTATTATCAGTCTCTTGGTGTTGAACATTGTCTTCTAATGTTTCAGTATTATCCATGGTTTCATCTCTAAGGCTTACATCAAAATATGAATAGTTATCATTATCAGAGTGGGAATATTCAACATAGAATTTCTGGGCATGTGTCAATTCAAATGGTACATCATACTTTGAAAGTCTCTGAGCAAATTTGGCTAATACTGAACTCAACATAGCCTCGGGTTCTAACTCGCCATAGCAGTCGCGTGGAAGAAAGACTTCTAATATGAATGGAGGAAGATTGGGGTGGATGTATTTCTAGGGGATAGCAAAAGAAGATGCATGACGAGTACGAGTGGAATCCTTGATAGGGTAATTAGAGATACTGTATTGACTGGTATCTTTCAAGAAACAAGGCTTATTTATTGAATATGCTTTTCCAACCCAACTTTTACCATTCTTTACAAAATAAGCTCTGGGATCAAACCAGAAATTACTGTCACTGTCGTTATCTACCCAATAAAACCATGGAAATTGGCAAAACAATCGAGTAATCGGCCACCTTGACGCACTCGACAAATCCGCAGCAGAAGTCCCATGATGATCACAGATACAGGGAACCCAGACTTGAGTTTCATGTCGTCCATCCAATTTTTTGAAAAGACTTCAGCAAATGTTCTTGTGAAGAGAGTAAACTTCGATGAAACTGGGTTGAAATGATGTGAAATTTACAGTTACAACAAAATTAGGATTTCCAAAGGCAAGAAGCTTCAACATTAAGTACACACACCATCACAACTTACCTTTTGGCACTCCTTGAGATTTGGCTTCGTAATGGTTAACCCTGTGTTCTGCAACCAGAATAAACTAATGAAATTCAAGGAAACTGAACCGGCAAAAAAAAGTAGAAACATAATACTCCCTCCGTCCTAGAAAAATAATCCAATTAGTTGCACTACTCCGGTTCAGCTAAGTGGATTATATATTCCGGGTTGAAGGGGAAGAAGCAAAACAAATGCAACATCAGGTTAATACTTTTTTAATTAGCAAGGTTCTGGATAGAGTATGCCTACGGAAAGAAAGGATCTCAAGTACCCCAACACAGGTTCGAGGGTCATGATCCCGTTCAAAAAGCGGCAAAATCCAGTAACCCTTAACGCCGAAAATTTCAGCAAACTTCTTCATCGGAAACTCCTCCTCCGAGCAATAATCAATGTCCGAACAATGTTCCGATGATCCTTGTGTGAACACCCTCCCAAGAGGACCAAACTGACTGATCTCCTCCACTGAGCTTTCCGGCCGAATGCAAGAGTACCTATATCTACAGAGGCCTTTGTAGATTTCACTCATTCCAAAAGGTTGCCCTGACACAGATAGCACGGCCTTGATGTTATGGGTGCCCAAAACTGTACTAAATTATGGGTTCCCAACAATGACAAAAGTAAGGACTTGATCTTATTATGAATTGAGCGCGATCGCGGGACAGGAACACCACCTGAAATTCTATGTATGAACAAACAGTATAAAGCCAGGAAAAAAAAAATTTTCAACAGGCACTCTGTTCATAAATAAGTCAATTTTCCGATTCCATTCATTCCCTTTTTTAACTCTTCAGTTTATTTATACAACAATCTTTCACCCAAAAAAGAAAAACAAAGCAGCAACATATAAGATATGATCAAAAAATCACATACTCTGAGATGGAGGTAAGGGGTCTGACTTTTTCGCCGGAATCAGTCGCGTTTGGGTACCAAAGCACTCTCAAATCACCAAACTTGTTCTCATGGCATTCCTCTGCACCGGTGAAAAGAGTGAAAAAATCATGATCAGTAAATATTACATCCTTCTCAGGGATTTTATGGGCTACGTCGTTATCCATAAATACTTATATACGAGTACTGGTGGTTTGCTTGTTCGTCTTCAATTCTCATCCTTCATTTACAAACTTAGATCTTTAATTAACCCTTCAACACCATAGCAGTTTAATATTCACAGTCGGTGATCATGATGCAATGGAGCTAAATAATAATGATAAGTAATAATAACAATTGGTCAGCGGAAAGGAGATGTATTTTGCAATTTTTGTTTGTCTACTTTCGAAATGTCCATTTCTGGTCTTTTTGGAGGAGGAAAGTTCACAAAGTTCAATCAAATCCAAATGGTTTCATCCAAAATTACCCGCATTCATAGTGCCGACAAAGTCAACAGCAAATGAAATCGGGTTTCTTCTTTATGTGTCTCACCAATAAGCTAAAAAAGGGGACTGACTAACAAATTGATACTCCCTCTCCAAATCCACATTGAGTTTACAAATTTGTACTGGTAGTATTTATCTATGTAATATATTAATAGAAAATCCAGAAAGGGAAACTTTGAATTATTCTTCTCATACCAAATCATATGTGACAATTTCTTAATTTTTTTAGATTTAAAATCACAAAAATGAATTACAACCTATAACAACAATAATCCAGTATATTCCCAACTAAATTGAGATCTGGGGGATCAAGATGTATGCAGCCTTACCCCTGTATTTCAATACAGAGAGACTGTTTAAGTAGTACGACCCAAGATGTATTGGCGCATTGATATGTTGATTTCCGGCAACTTCACCAAATTAAGAAGCGTTGGAATTTAAATGAGCCATTTTGATCTAATCCATTATTAGTAAAAAGCTAAAAAATATTATTAATTATGACTCTTCCAACTCCATTTGCAATAGATAAAAAAATGAATTACTATCTACAATTATTATGTTAACTATTAGCCGTAATAAAGATTCCTTACATCTACAATATTTGAAAAACAAATCAGATCCCTACTTTTGATATTTTAGGTTTATGTACAGGTTTAGCTGTTCTGATTTTTATGTTTTTAAACAAACCAAATCACTATAATTAGGGATTTTAAAGTGATTAAAACTTGACTAATATATGACATTGCCACGTTACACTCATCCTGATCATCTTTCGGATAATTACAATTTCATCTCTCGCTGCTCTTCATTTCGTTGTAAGATCCATCACATTTCTTCCCACATCCAATTTCTCAAATCAATCTTAGAGATGGCGAAAAAGATATCGTTGAATTAGGTTTTCGATTTGTAGAATGATATGCTTTTGTTATTAGATTTCTTCAAGTGATGAAGATATATCCTGTTAAAATTCCTTTGAACTTGAAAACAAGTGAAAGACACTTGTCCTATATTGGAGTTGGGAATCCAACTTGATTAACATATATACCAATGTGCTACTCCCCTCATTGCCAATTGGTTTTGAGGTGGAACCATATGTGGGCGTATATGGGCCTTCAAGATGGTATCAGAGCGAGTTTTAATCTGCGGACTTTGTGGGTAGACTTTGACCGACCCAATAGTTTATCCGGGACAAATACCAAAAAAAAAAAAAATGAAACGGGCCTTCAAACAAACAAAAAACCCGAAATGGGCCTTTAAACAAAAATCAAACCCGAAATGGGTTTTAAAAACAAAAAGAAATTCAATGGTTCAAATGGGCCTTGTCCAACCCCTTTGGGCTTGAGAAGGGAGTGTTAAAATCTCTTTAAACTTGAAAACAAGTTAAAGACACTTGCCCCACATTGGAGTTGGGAACCCAACTTGATCAACATATATACCTCATATGCTATTTCCCTCATTACCAATTAGTTTTGAGGTGTAACCACATGTGAGTTTATATGGGCTTTCAAGATATTCGTCAAAACTTCTCTCTGATCCTATGGTTTATTAAAAACTTTTTATTTTATTGGTTTCAGGAAACTTCTATTAAGTTATAGTGGCAAGTATTTAGGAAAGTTAAACTTTTGTGTTTAGGAATAAATCAAGCGTATGAATACATTAATCTCTGTTTTTCATATGTATGATTATAGTCACTGCCAAGAATATAGGCAGATGTCCCTGACGTTTCATGTCAATTACTAGGTACATGCTAAAAATCTCACTTTTCAAGAGTTTAGGTCTTTAGGAGCTCCAATCAAAGAAATGGAGCTTGTGACTTTGCCTATTCTTGTTCAAAGCTATGTAAGGGTATGAAAATCCTCGAACGAAACCAAGGAGAATTAATCTTCAAGTTCAATGGTTATAGTATCTTTCATAATGCAAATAGCATGCTTCTGGCTCTCATTTCATCGGAAGTTGGAATTGCTTTGAAAACAGACCAGCAGGATCGATTGGAAAGCAGGCGCGATTATATTTTATCTATACATGCCATAATGTAAAATTATGTTGCAATTTTTCGGATAATACCAATTAACTGCTCTATAACTGAATATTTAAGCCATTGAAATCATACCATTAATTTTTATTTATTTATTCAACTATTCCAGCAAGTGTGTTGATAGCACAACCCATGATGAGAAGATTGTCTACTTGGAACCCTTAACACATCCCTTTTACCCTATTAAAGCAGAAGACATGAAACTTATGTGGCAACTACGTATGCATCTGTTTTGGCTCCAATGCACCATATTTCAGATTTCTGAAGTCTTTTTGCCACGTGTAAGTCTCTTTTGATTAGAAGCTATATAAATATTTTTTAAAAAAAAAACACATGTTTTACTACAAATAAGGATCAGTTACATTTCAAAACGAATGGATATATTAATTGAAATTCAAATGTCCAATCGTATAGTTTGCAGGCTTAATATAAACAAAAAATAAAAATATCTAAATCCAGTAATTAAGAATAATGCCTTATAAACTAATTATTTATTATTCTCTTGTAACCTCAAATTTATAGGTATATTTTTTTAAGTCCCAAACCATAGTATAAATGATATATACGTCAAATTAATTCCTCAAAAAATAGTAATTCAATTAGATTATAATAAAATAGTAATTTAGAGGGGGCGCTCAGGCTTCTTTCCGGGCCGAGCATTTAATAATTATTAGTGGAACAAAATCACGAGAAAGTAGCTACTAAACATGAGTGTGCATTCGAATTAAAGTTTCAAAGCACTTTTTGCAAGACATAACATTTTTTTTTACAAAATTTTAGCACTTATTATTTTATAAATTATTATTTACTTTTCAATATATTTTATAAATATTTATTAAAATATTATTGTCTATCATGCACATCGTGCGGATAACATCTAGTTTAGTTTTAATTCCAGGCTTATACAAAATGTGGTAATGGAAGTTTGATACCATGCTACGTAGTCGCAGATGACACGAATTAATGAAAACTGACATTACAATCGCTTCAAAAACTAAGATGTTATCACTTAAAACTTACACAATCTTATAGTACAAGTGAACTCTCCATACTCATTCAATGAGTATCCACTTAGACAAACAAGATATAAACAATCGCAGTCATCTGCAAAGAAAATTCCTTTAATTCGCTCCATTTTCGAACCCTCACAGGTGGAACTCATTCTGGATTTTATCCCCGGTGCCTCGCGACCAGAATGATGTATGGAGCTGGGCCTTCACCAAGAGCAAGAAGTATACAGTGAGGTCAGCTTACCACGCAGCGCTAGAATCGGATTTCTCGCCGCTTACGAATACTCCAGGACCAACGGCATCCACTTCCCCCCTCCTCCAATCTGGAAACGCATCTGGAAACTCAAACTTCAACCTAAACTACATCACTTCCTGTGGTCGGCCTGCAACGAAACCTTACCGTCGCCGGAGAACCTCAATAAGCGGCATCTTCCTCAGCCTGAGGAATGCGTCAACTGCAGCGGAACAAACGTGTCTACGAAACATCTCTTCTTTGGTTGTCGTTTGCTTCAGAAGTTTGACATATCTCCTCCATGGCATCTCTGGTGTGGCAATGAGAAAGAAAATGGATGCCAATGGATTAAATCTTTAATTACTGATTTAGACATGAAGGAACCTGAATTATGATTTTCGTTGATCTGATTAACCAAGACCTGAGAATCCATTAAAACTTCAATGTTCTGAAGTCCAAACCTGAGAGCCATGTTTAACCCTGTGATTAAGGCCTCATATTCCGCCACATTGCTGGTTACTGGAAAGCCGAATCTCAGAGCGTAAGAATGCTCAGTGTCATATTCTTTCATCTTCTCGATGATGAGCTCCGCTGTTAGTTTAGCTAAGAATACCGGCTTCTCTCCCTTCTTCACAAGATGAACTGTTGTTGTGTGCGTATTTGAACGTATAGATATTACTCACGTGCAAACAAATAAATAAAATAAACCTCGTTCGCACGCACTCAAGGCCCAAGTAAAAGCCCGTCATTGTGTAGTGCAAGTAAGGGTCGATCTCATGAGAATAGTAGCGATTTAAGCTATTAAAGCACTTTCTCGATGGCAAAAGGTAAATGAAAAGACGGTAGATAATTAAACTAATATAAAACTAAGAAAACATAAATAACAAAATAAGAAAGGGGGAGAAATCAAGATATTCGAGGGTCCTATGAATTGTTTTTGATCACCTTATGGATATGACTTTCAAACCATTCTCATTATTTCATCAATAAAGAAAGTCCATAATAGGAGCATAAAGTAAGTTGTCACTACTTCACTAATTAGTCGGCTCAGGCAAAGTAGGTGGGGTTCCCTCACTTTAGTAGTCCCTAGGCTCACGAGCGCTCGTCACTGATGGGTGTCGAGACCAACAAAATAAACCTACTTAAAACTTGTAACAAGTGATAAAAAGGATCGATCCCACAGAGACAAAAAATACTTAATAAAAATTGGGATCTAGTACCAGAACACAAGATAAAAGCAAAAACGGCAGATTGACAAGTGAATATGTGACTTGGCAAAGTGAATAAGTGATGGCAGCGTTGGGTCGTCATCCACTCTACTCTATATGCATATGTATTGATTCTTTTAGCTCTCTATGTGGTATGAAACTGTATTTAATCAGGCACATAAACAGTGTAAGGTCACTTCCGATTGTTCCAAAAAGCAGTCCTAGTAGTAACTAGTAAACTAACTTCCGTTGTCAACTCGAAATTACTACTAAGCCATTAAGATCTTAAGCCCTTATGATTGCCTCGTGCCAAATAACAAAGCTTGGGTTGTTACCCCTTCGTCACGGTTAATTCTAGACATTCTAAGTGAAGTTTACCCTTCTGGGATTCCCCTCACATGCATGCACAATTAGTTTGAATGGCATGTTCAACCTAAAAGGATAATTGAAACTCTAGAAT